CACTCCAAAGAGAAAGGAAAACTTGAAATCGCATCATATGACCCCTTTAATACATTTGCCACACAGTTTAATGTACAGGGACTATAAGTAAACCATTTGTAGAATGACATCCTAAAAAGTGCTTTTTGGATCTTTTTTTTTTTTATAAATTAATTATATTTTTATTTGATTTGATTTTTTTTATTATATATATATATATATAATAAAAAAATATAATCAAATAAAAATATAATTAATTATGATATATCAGGATTCTGTGATGAATAGAAAGTTCTACAGAACAGCATTTATTTGAAATAGAAATAATTTGTAACATTATAAATGACTTTAATGTCACTTTTGATCAATTTCATGCATTCTTTCTGAGCCCAAACTTTTGAATGGTAGTGTATCATGGTTTCCACAAAAATATTAAGCAACACATCTGTTTTCAACATTGATAATTATAAGAAATGTATCTTTAGCAGCAAATCAGCATATTAGAATGATTTCTGAAGGATCATGTGACACTCAAGACTGCTGAAAACTCAGCTTTGCCATCACAGGAATAAATTACATTTAAAAATATGTTTGAATAGATAAGTTATTTTAAATTGTAATAATATTTCACAATATTACTGAGAAAACATTTTAAAAAAAGTAAAAAATCAAACACTACTGGTAAAAAACTTTTTACCAGTAGTGTATGTTTGTGTTTGGTTTCCTTGTTTTTGCAGAATATCACCCAGATGATGTTTTCCATTAAATAGTCTTTGTGCATTCATCCTGATAGGTGCTGACAAAGGACTCTGTGACAGTGAGTGTAGATGGTGTAGTCTACTACCGTGTGCAAAACGCAACACTGGCAGTAGCCAACATCACCAATGCTGATGCAGCCACTCGTCTGTTGGCACAGACCACCCTGAGGAACGTGTTGGGTACAAAGAACCTGGCAGAGATCCTGTCTGACCGGGAGGAAATCGCCCACAGTATGCAGGTAACACATGAAACTACACATACAAAACAAGAGTTATACTTTTAAAGGGGTCCTATTATGCTTTTTCACTTTTTTAATTTTAGTCAGTGTGTAGTGTGTATGTTTGGGCATAAAAAAAGATCTAGAAATTTACAAATCTCAAAGTCCACTCCAAAGGGAGATATTTAGTTTTTTAAAAATCCCTTTTCAAGAACTACAACGAACGGCTCGTTTGGACTACAGCATTTGTTTTCCGGG